GAGACACAGCCCCGTCCGCCTTCCAGGGCGCACCTCCCTGCCTCCCTGAGTCTCCTCCAACCTTGTCACACCACAGGGCGGCCTCACTCCTGCTCCCACCCCCCAGGCCGGTCTCCCCCTGCTTCCCGCCCGCTGTGGTGCCACCCCCAAGCCATCTTGTTCTATCAAAATAATTCCTGCTAAGTTTGCATATTCAGATTTTCTGTCACCGAGTTTTCTTTTTTATGTTGAGTAGTTGCATTTTTAAAGGAAGCTTGACAGTTAGTTGTGTGTTTTAAAAGGAACGTACATGTGGATACTGGTACACTCTCTCACAATTCCATCCTTATCGCTTAAATGAGGTTCACCTTTACGTTTTCCCTAATTATAAAAAGACCGTCACATTCATGGTGGTCATTGGTGTGGGTGTGCATGCACGTGTATTGTCTACACCTTCACACACACATGTGCACATACATCACAGTGTGTGTGTTTTTAAACAAAGCGGGAGTGTGCTGTGTATAGAGCTTAGATGCTATCGTGAGCAGCTTAGACAGTGGATATTCTTAGAGCGAGCCCCCGATCTACCGAGTGTCGTTTGTTAGCCTTATTTCTGCCCCTGCTCTTTCTTCCTTACCTGTCCTCTGCTGGGTATTTCAGCCCCGTGCTCCGGCGGGGAGAGCGTTTGCCACAGAATTTGTCTGTTGAGAGAGTGGGAAGCCTATCAGCCTGTGCCCACATCAGAGCCCGGCCCTCCCGTCACTCAGAATTACAAACCCCGGCCCCACGGAATCCAACGTGCTCCGAGGGCGCGTTGCCCCTCCTGGCACGCCACGGGCTCCCGTGGCCACAGCCGTCCCTGCCTCCTCGCACCCTAGTTCCAACCTCAGCCCAAGGAAGAGCTTTCTTTCCTGTCTCTTCTCTGACTCTCCTCTGTGGAGATGAGACTGGTTTACTGTCGACTCCGTGATGCCAGCCACGTGCCAGGCCCACCATTACCACGGCGTCTCCTTCCAGCCGAGTCCTCGGGAGGCGACCCGAGAGGTAGCGACTTTATCCTTATCTTGCGGGTACACGTGGGAAACTGAGACTCCGGCGTGCCAGAGCTGTGGCTGAACCCAGACCTGGGTGACCCGGAGCCAGGCTGCCCCCCACCCCCCCCTGCAGGTGCACAACTCGTTCCCAACCTCACCCCCTTTGCCCCTCTGGCTTCGGGGCCACTTTTGGGTAAGGGACGGCAGGCTGAGGCAGAAGGAGACGGTGTGCTTGTTGCTTCTTCTGAATGACACGAAGTTATTAAAACAACAAAAGCATGTGGCCCAGAGCCAGCGTGGTCCCAGGGGACCCCCTCCCCGCCCTGCCATCCGTGTGCCCTCAGCAGCCGGCTTCGGTGCCTCAGTTTCTCTACCTGTAAAAGGAAAAGGCTTGCCCTGAAGTTCTCTCCAGTTTTCTGTGTTAACATTCTTAAGATTTCATTACTAACGTAATTCAGTCAATGTTGCTATTAATCTGGGGAACAAGCTACAACTAGTTTAACCAAAAAAAAAAAATTATACAATGGATTTTTCTTGTACATTTTTCCTGCTTGTTAACTGAAATCATATGACCAAAAAAATGGTGGAACTTTTGGGATGTGAAACGTTCCCCTCCCCCACCCCCCGAAATCCAGTGCAGCTCCCCCTCCTCCTGCGGAGCACGTGGCGCACGTGCTGCTGACCTGCTGACAGCCACACAGGGACGGCCGAGGGAGCACACAGGTGGCCGGGGTGCGGGTGAACCAACCCCGCCGTCTCTCTCTCCCCAGTGCCCCGCTGCCTCACTGCAACTTGCTTTTATAGCTGTACTCGAAAGAGCATGATGCTAGACGGTTGCTGATTTTTATTTTAATACACAGGAAGATAACAGCAGCCCCATGAACCGCCCTGTTCCATCTCGGGCTCCACCTCCTGACTCTGCCAGGCGCCCAGTCTCCATCTTCTTCAGTTTGAGGGAGCCTGGGTGTTGGTGAGGGGCTTTGGGCCTTGTCCTCACAGACCCTGTCCCCAGAGACACATCTCCAGGACGCACCTGCCCTGGGTCGTCATTGCCAGTTGCCTGGACAGGTGCTCCTGGCTCCATCCAGGGGTCAGTGCAAGGGAGGCTCGTTCTCATTTTCAAAGGTCACTGACCCTTTGCTGTAGGGGATGTGAAACGTTCCCCTCCCCCACCCCCCGAAATCCAGTGCAGCTCCCCCTCCTCCTGCGGAGCACGTGGCGCACGGAGCACGTGCTGCTGACCTGCTGACAGCCACACAGGGACGGCTGAGGGAGCACACAGGTGGCCGGGGTGCGGGTGTACCGACCCCGCCGTCTCTCTCTCCCCAGTGCCCCGCTGCCTCACTGCAACTTGCTTTTATAGCTGTACTCGAAAGAGCATGATGCTAGACGGTTGCTGATTTTTATTTTAATACACAGGAAGGTAACAGCAGCCACATGAACCGCCCTGTTCCATCTCGGGCTCCACCTCCTGACTCTGCCAGGCGCCCAGTCTCCATCTTCTTCAGTTTGAGGGAGCCTGGGTGTTGGTGAGGGGCTTTGGGCCTTGTCCTCACAGACCCTGTCCCCAGAGACACATCTCCAGGACGCACCTGCCCTGGGTCGTCATTGCCAGTTGCCTGGACAGGTGCTCCTGGCTCCATCCAGGGGTCAGTGCAAGGGAGGCTCGTTCTCATTTTCAAAGGTCACTGACCCTTTGCTGTAGGGCAGACGGAAGCGTTTGGGGTCAGCGGCCGTGTGGCTGGTCCCCTCTCAGCATCTGCACTGGCCTCTCTCCTGCGCCAAGTCGGTGGCATCTTAGGTGAAGCCCCCAGTCTGCGTCCCCTGCACACGCCGCCTCAGACCACCTCTCAGCTCTGGGTGTGCAGGACATCAAGGACCCTCTTCCCTGCTAGCCCACATGGGACCGGCAGGCCGGCCCGCACACGCGTGTGCCCGCTCACGTGCAGGCTTTCTGTGGGTGGCTTCTTCTGGCGGCCCCGCAGTGGGAGCTGTTCTCCATGCGGACGAACCCTCTCCGTGCAGAGCCTCTGCGTGGGAGAGTGCTAACCGCCCCTCCTGTCTGCCCTCTCGCACTAGAACGCGCTGGTGGTCGAGATACCGCCGTTTCGCAATCAGAGAATCACCAGCCCCGTCCAAGTCAGCTTCTACGTCTGCAACGGGAAGAGGAAGCGAAGCCAGTACCAGCCCTTCACCTACCTGCCTGCCAATGGTAACGCTATCTTTCTAACCTTACGTGCTGCGAACGAACCGGTGGGGTGCTTTTTCTAAAAGACGCAGAAACGATGAGCTGCTGTCGCTGCAAAACAACACGGTCGCATTGTACCTTTAAGCTGTGTTACTATCCTGTTAGCAAGACCATGTTGCCAATTCTTAAAAAAAAAAAAAAATAGCGAACCTTCTGGTGTATTTTCCTTTATTACTGTTGCGGGGGTGGGAGGGGGCGCGTACTGGGTTAATTGCTGATCATTTTGCGGGCTGTTT